TAGATGTCAGATCTGAGATCGATCGCACACCCCTAGATCTACAATCTTCTTCTTCTTCTTCTCTCTCTCTCTCTCTCTCTCTCTCTCTCTCTTTGTGTTAGATCTCAGATCTGAGTTCATGCCTCAGACTCTCAGTTTTCTCCCTTCTCTATTCTCTACATTCTGCAACTTTCTTAAACCGCGAACCGTTGTTCGGGTTAAATGACTTGACGGTTCGATCGCCCGGGTCAACAATTTTATGATCAAGTCAACGGCTCTTAACCCAGGAACAGGTTAAGGGTGAAATGGAACTGGTTGCTTAGACGGTTTTCGAACTGAACAATCTGACTGTTTAAGCCAACGACAGTTCAAAAACATTAACAACTTATAAGAAGTTTGAAGATCCCAAAGTGATTGTAAGCTAACCATTTGAATGACTGTCTCTTTCAGCTTTTAGCCTGTGTAGTACTTCAAAAGCAGTTGAACCAGCTTTGTTGAATCTTTAGCTTAACCCACACTATAGTACTCATTTGTGAGGGCTAAAGTGCAATTGCACTCTTGGCTTTCGCGGGAAGATTCCACACCGACAACCTATAGAAGCTATGTTTGGTGAAAAATCTAAAGAGCCTAAAACCAGTGTGAATCAGTCATTTGAAGAATTATTTACTTCAACCTGTTTGTATAGCTTATTGGAATGCTTCAAAGCAATTGAACCAGCTTAACTAAATGTTCAACTTCACCCACCCAAATAGGCTTGGAATGCAACAACTTACGTCAAAAGTATTTCTAAAGTTATAGAACATTGTCAGAGGCCATTTTGGGGGGGATTCTTTGCTTTGATTGAGCCACTATAGAAAAGGAACAATGGTTGGGCGGGCGTGTTCCAAATGAGCTACTTGGATTAATTTCACTCAACAGTCGTAAAAATGTCATCCGAAATGTTCATACATTCAGGATTTTTACCATACATAACTTCCACATTTTCATTTGGGATCTATCTCGAAAAACAAATGATGTATTAGGTTGTGTTTTAAAAAATGGTCCAGAGTTCAAACCGTTTTTGTTTCTAGGATGTGAGTCACAAATGTAACCATCTAGGTTGAATGGATCAGGCTGTGCCACGCTAGCACACACACATGTATGCATACATACATATATACATACACATATACATGTGTATAAATACATATTTTATCAATAAATAATGTATAATTATGTTTTAGATATGATATATCTATTATTTTATATTTAATTTATATTTTTAATTCACTTTTATTTTTTATAAAAATATTAAAAATTGCAATTTGAAACTAAAAATGGGATTTTTTTTTTTTGCAAAAATAGCGAGGCAAGGTGCCTATGGCTCCTTGGGACACATAAATCTTGAAAAGTTACGCAAAATCAAAGAAAAAAATATCACCCCAATTGGACATCAAAGTGCAAGGTTATGGCCTCCAAAAGTTTGTATGCATTGAGTGTGCAACCTGCAACCTAGTGACCATGTTGAATGGGTTGATTGTTGAACCATCCGGTTTGGATGGTTTTTACCAAGTTAAAGGTTTATAACTGACTTATTGATTTTAATAAAACCAAACCCTGAATCTTGGTCAAGTAACGGTTCAAGCAGTTCAACCGAATAGGTCAACAACAAGTTGAAAACGTTGGTATTAAGTCAATCAAAAAATTTAGGCTATCAAAGTGGTCTAGTAATAACAAATAATTGATTTTTTACTATTCAAAAATATTCTAAGAATTGATTTGGCCTTGCAAGATTGGCAACTTCCACAATCTAATTCAATTAAGATAAACAATATATGTGTATATTATTATGAAAGTTTAAAACATCAATATACCTTGATATGAGAGAAGGGGTGTGTCTAGACTTTGAATCTTACACTAGTTTTTTTTTTTTTTAATTTCAAAAGCGAGCCATTTTATTATTTAATTATTAAAAGTCACCAAAAGATACATATGATATACTTATACAGTTGTATTGTGTTGAAATCTTGAACCTTGGTGATAATAATAATAATAATAATAATAATAATAATAATAATAATAATAATAATAATAATAAACTTCTATATGGCAATGTTAACATAATACATATCATATAAGGGAAATGTCATAATCCTCTTTACCTATTGGGTATCCTTTGTTTTTCTTATGTTTTCCCATATCTAATCAATAGCTATGTGCGAGTTTTTTTGTATTAATCATTACCTAACACTCTCACAGGAGTCATTACGAGTAAGAGAACGTATGGGACATTGTGCTCAGGTCTATTCAAATTTTGACAAAAACTTAACCTAAGCAGCTGATTCACCCAAGTTACTATAAAAAGAAGGGTAAAATATAAAATCCTCCCTTGAGGCTTTTGAAAATATTAAAAATCTTCCCTCAAATTTTACTTTAACAAAAACCTCCCTTCAAATTTTGAAAAACTTAATACAAACATTCCTTCCTTCACTGACCAGACGAAAAACGTTTGGCCGATGCATTATTTTTTTTCAAAATACCTATTTTACCCTGAGAAATAGAATTCTTTCATTTGAAAAGTATTTCATATCATTGTTTGTCAAGTGAAATTCCTTGTTCATTGAATGTAAAGGACAAATGTGCCCTTTAATGTTGATTAAATTTTCAAAACATGGTGAAAAATTCCAATGACCATTTATTTCTTCTTTTCTTGGTAGAAGCAGGTTTCTCATTGCCCCTTGTTTTCTGCAATGGAACTAGTGCACCATTGCTCCTTTTGTTTTTTTTTTCTCTTCCTCCGCTTTTTTACCCCACTCTCATTTCGGGTTCGCATCTGCCCCCCACAGACTTTCCCCCAAAAACGTCCCACGAAACCTAGGCGCAATGCGTATCATGACACACGCGCACTAGGATGACTCGTGCTGTCTCTATTTCACGCCGTTTGTTCTTCTCCTATTCTACTGTGAACTGATACCCTTGGTGCCCCCTTTCGCAACCCACCCACCGGAGGTAAACTCTTTCGAGTTCCGCCGGTCATACAAACGGCGAGAAGGTAAGTATTCTGTAAGTTTTTCTCATTTCTTATCTTTTTTTCTTTCTCATTCATTTTGTAACCCACCCACGAAGATTCGTTTTTCTCATAACGAATCAATGAATGTAGTGGTGGAGGGGTATATTAATGCGGAGACAGGGAGGACAGACGCGAGTGTGTAGTCGCGCAGCTGTCATTCGACATCCAAACCACCCCTTCTTAGAGACGGCAAATAAGCGTTAGCAGCTATCGGACCCCCTTTTCCTTGCTCACAATCTCGACCACCCTTTTCCCTTTCTTTTTTTTTTTTTTTCTCCAGCTTTCTCCCCTCTTAATTGTATTTCAATGTTTCACAGTTCAAATCCCCCTTTTGTTTCAAGGTTGGAACCTTGCAGCATCAGCAACACAAACAACCTCTCCACCAGCACCAGCTGCATCAAGACCACCACAGGAAAACAGGAACAACACTTTTACAACCAGCTAGAATAGAAGAACCCTGTCTCTATTGGTCTCTCAATGTTGCCTTCTTTGATGTAGAGAGGAATGGAGGGAGAGACAAACAAAAAAGAAGAGGAGAGGAAGAAAAGGAGGTGGAAGAGAAGAGGCAACTCATCAACAATCTTTGCCAACTCCGAGAGGGGTATATATTGAGAGAGTGGAAAGGGGAAACAGAAAAGAGAATTCATGCATGAAGAGAAAGACCTATTGGTTGTTTTGATGATTCATTAGAGATCATGGCTTATCAGCACTATCAATCGCAATTTGGAGATACCACTTTCACCAAGGTGTTCGTTGGAGGGTTAGCCTGGGAGAAGCCAACCGAAGAGATGTATAGATACTTCCAATAGTTTGGAGAGATACTTGAAGTCGTTATCATCACCGACAAGAATACTGTCAAGTCTAAAGGATACGACTTTGTGAGTCCTTTGTTTCCTCTTTACATTTGATCTCCTGGTTACTTTTTTGTAAAACACAAGACGTTGTTGTTTTGTTCTTCTTTTTATCCATCGTCGATGGATTTTCTTCTTTTGGTGTTAAATATTGTCGACGATTTGATCATTTGAGTTACATATATACAATCTGAAAGAAAGGATTTATTGATGGAGCAGGTGACGTTTCGTGATCCAGAGTCGGCAAGGAGGGCTTGTCTTGAACCGAACCCTGTGATCGATGGGAGAAGGGCCAATTGTAACATACCTCCACCCCTCGCGTCTGAGAATGTTAGAAAACGAATGAAAAAAAAAGATAAGAAATGAGAAAAACTTATAGAATACTTACCATCTCGCCGTTTGTATGGCCGTTGGCGTCGGCCGGCGGAACTCGAAAGAATTTATCTCCGGTGGGTGGGTTACGAAAGGGGGCGCCAAGGCTTTCAGTTCACAGTAGAATAGGAGAAGAATACCCAGGAGAAGAAACGTATGTGTCATGACAAATGACATGAAATAAGGATCGCACGAGTCATCCTAGTGCGCGTGTGTCATGACACGTGTCACGCCTAGGTTTCATGGACGTTTTTGGGGGGGCAGATGCGAACCCCTCTCGTTTCTTCTTTCTCCTGCTCCAATGGTGATGCAACCAATATACTAGCTTACATCTTAAGAGAGACCTTATGTTGGTTGAGAGTGGAAAAAGGAATTAGATAAGTAAAATCATGAACTGTTTTAAATGGCAATGGGTCATTGGGACTTAAACACTCACTGAACTTGCGGTGAGGTGGGGAAAGAGATGGATAGCTTGCCTACTTTAGAATAGGGGTGGATTTGAGCCGAATAGTACGAGATTTGAGCTCGGTTCGCTAAGGTAGAATAAGGCTCGAGCTCGACTTGAAAAAAAATATTTTATAAAAATAATATATATATAATATTTTTATCTGATATTTAAAAAATTAAGAATTATAATAGTTAATTGTTATTTATTTTCTATAAATTATTATTATTATTATTATTATTATTATTATTATTATTATTATTATATGAATGTATGTAGCTATTTGTGAGCTGAGCTATATTAAACTCGATTGAAATTGAATCAAGTCAAACTTTTCACGAATCCAAACTCGAATAGCTCATAAAAAGCTCAGATCATGGCCACCCCTACTCTACAAGAGCCCCTAGAATTGTAGCATTCGAAGGTCTTAGATACTTTAATTTCCTTTATTCCGACAAAGGCCCTTTGAACTATCACCTGGGTTCTTCTCAAGGCTATGTTGAGCCTCCCGTAAAGAATAAGAACAAACCAACTAGGTCCAAAAAAGTTGAGTACCTGTAACAAGATCAATGGGCCTGGGCCTGGGCCTTTGCCCTCTGGGCGCTGGATGACCCATCTACGGATCGGATAGTGGGACCTTCAGGCTTCAGCCTTGTGTTTTCAAAACATGAAGAACGAGGGACTCGTCGAAATGTCGAGTTGTCGTCCAAATTAAAATGATGAACACTCCCTGACTAGTGACGACGATTGTCATCAACTTAAAGTAAAGTAAGAAATCAGAAAGAAAGCAGCAATAGAAGAGAAATGGTGTGGGTGCATCATCATCTTCGCCGATTGAAATCAACTCGTCTATGGGGAGGTGCATTCTTGTGTTGGGTCTGTTTAATGCTGACTACACCCAAAATCCCTCACTCTCCCAAACACCACGTTTTCGCTGACATGCGCAATTTCCTAGGTAAAACAATTCCATTTTCTTTCAGTCCTCTTTTTCTCTGATTTGATCTTCTGATACTTTCCTTTCCTTCGTTCATTTCTTCAACATGTGTTTTGGGTTTCCTCAGGAGTTCCCAACACCTTGAATGTGATATCAAATTTTCCGTTTTTGGTTGTTGGTGTTCTGGGTCTAGTCCTCTGTCTTCAAGGAAGTCTTTTCGCCATAAGGTTTGTTTTTCTTATACTTCTTAACTTTACTCGTTCTCTCAAGTTCTTTTTTTTGTATTGATTACCTTAATCTTAGAGCTGTGGAAATGGTCGGTTGTAGTTTGCGGGGGGAGGTTTGGGGTTGGGCTTTCTTCTATGCTGGAGTTACGGCTATGGCTTTCGGGTCTGCTTATTATCATCTAAAGCCTGATGATGATCGAGTTCTATGGGACCGACTTCCGGTTAGCCTTCTATGTCCTTTTTAATTCTGTCCGTTTTATGCTTTTACATGCCTTGACTGGGCCCCTGATGATTTGCTTGTTATGTTATTTTTAAGTATTTGTATTGATCCTGCATTGTCGATTGCAGATGATGGTCGCATATGCTTCGCTTTTTTCTAGTTTTATAATTGAGAGAGTGGGAGAACGGGTTGGGCTAATATCCCTGTTTTTGCTCCTGTTGATGTCTCTTGCTAGCATTGCTTATGAAAGGTTAATATACTACTTGTTTTTTTCTTGATCTGTAGTGGAAAATAGTCAATTTCATTGAAGAATAAATGACGCAGTTTTCCGTTGAATATGCTAAATTATCTGGATGACTGGATGCAGGAGTTTCAATGATCTCCGGTTGTGCATGATGTTCCACTTGATTCCATGCATAGCAATTCCAACCATGACATTTGTATTCCCTCCAAAGTACACCCATTCAAGATATTGGCTTTGGGCGGCAGGTTTGAACTTTGAAACTTGAAATGCATAACTTAAAGTGCTTCATAGAATTCTCTTTTTTTTATCAGTAATTTCATAGAATTCTCTTTACCACACTTAGAATCTATGTTTCACCTTCAAAGATGCAAATATGTCTATGGATTTGTGCGTATATGATGATTTAAATTCTTGATTTCTTAGCTGCAGCCTGCAGAGCAATATGTCAATCCATACTATAATATTTTTGTTCAAACAAATAAAGTCTAGATTCCATTTGAATGTTGATCATAAATCAGTTGCAGTTCTTATTTATTCATTCAGTTTTTTATTACGGTTAACCATGCATTAGGAATCTATGGGTTAACCAATGCATTGTGTTATGGCAAAGAAGCACTGTGTTATAATGCATTGGTTCTTAATTCAACAATCTTATACAACAAGATGAAGTGGAAAAGTTTAAGGATCTGAAATTCTAGACTAAGCTAAGATAGATCCAGGATCCTTGATGTCCTCTTCTTAAACAAACATATTTAAGCAGTTGATTCATACTTGTAGAAAATCAATGGGTGTGAATTATGACATGATTATGTAGTGCGCCCATGACTATGTGGAGTTGTGGATAGGCTACAGTTCTACTTTTCACTTAATGATATCCTATGTTTGCTAGGTCTTTCTCTTTCCTACTTAATACCATATGGTAGTTTTGGATCTCCATCAAAGGATCATCTAGTTCCTTTGTATCCTAGAAGATATATGATGTCAATACAATCATTGCCAAACATGGTTGAGGGTTACCCGTTGAGTTCTTCTTGATCACCTTAATTCCACTGATGCTTTTATGATACACAAGGAGAATGGAGATATAAAACCCACGTACTAAGTTTTTTCTTTTTTTTTTATTCAGGGAATGATCACCCCTTCAACTTGTAAAAGATCACTATGCATATTTTATAAAATATTATAATTATATTATTAACTAAACCATATTTAAAGTCGTAGAAACCAGTAGCCTGGCCTGCCCCATGATCACCCCTGGTTACATATTGGAAACCATTGGAACTGGCTTGGAGGGAGTTTTTCATGTCAAAGGAGCAAGGAGGATCTGGATTTTGCAATGCTTATCTTAATAACAAGAAAAGTTATAGTGAAATATATGATATTTGCAGATTCTATTCATTGCAGCTTCAGATGGATCTCTAGAGAACTAGATGTTTTAGCAGACTCTTTAGCTAAAACAGGTCGGAAAGGGCTTTTATGTATAGTGCAAATTCTCTTCCATTATTTTGAGTAGGCTTTAGATTTTGTTAGTTGTTTAACCCCTGCTTGTGCATCTTCTCATGTACATCCTTCCCCTTTTGTAAATGGAAGTTACCTTTTCTCAAAAAATAAAAAAATCTTCTCATGTTTGGGAACATCTATTTAAAATAGTTATTTATTTATACCTAAATCAATACATTATTGAACAAGAAAAAGAAAGAAAACAACTTTCTGATTGGATCTTGTTCCATGTTTTAGACCATGGAGGAGGAAAAGTGCCTTTACTATATTGGAATCAATGGTCACTTATTGAAAAAAAATCTTGGTCATTTCATCCTGACCAAAGCAACAAAACCTTCCCAGTGTTAGTCATATAAAGAACCACTAACTGCTAACTTAAGCAGTCATCGAAATCGAGCTTTGACCTCATCTTTATTATTGGGGGCCTGAGATGCTTAGATTCTAATAATCTGAGTGGTCCACCAGGACATGAATGCTGACAACTTATGATGTCAGTCGGGCTGATAAGTGTGAGAACAGGAGTTTGATGGAGCCTGTGACAAGTCCTCAGATTTGGTTTTGAGTCTTTTCTTTTACTCTTCAAAAAAAAAAAAGTCCTGAGATTTGGTTTTGAGGGTATGATATTCAAATATTTTATATATATATATATTTGAAGAATAAAAAGAAAATTTTCATTAAAAGAAAAAGAAGCGAGTACAGCATGGGTGATAAGATATCACCAGAAACAAGGAAGCAACCCCGGGGCACCTGAAAGGCCTAAAAGCACCCCATCAAATATATATTTCAAATATATCATGCAATTTTCCATCATTAGAGCCACCTAATGTAGGGATGATCATTCCTAGCCTGGCCTGGCAAATGTATTATATATATAATATTTTATTTCTTGGTACATGTGATGTGACTTTGCCCCCACAGGGGCAGGGTGCTATACACTAGACCCAGATGACAGATTAGTGGGTTTGTGGTGGCAGGGTGCACATGTGGGATCACCTGCATAACTCACACACACATATAAGACAATTCTTGATTCAATGATTAATAATATTTTGAAAATTTCTAGTTTCCTATCTCCTCTTTTTTCCAGTCTGTTTGTGGTGCCAAAGATCTTGCTAATCCCTTGGCAATGGAGGATGCACATTGAGAATTTGAGATATATTTATACCTAATATCTTTCTATTATCAATTATGTCATCTACCTCATACTGCTAACATACTTTTAAGGAACCAAGCTGGTTCTATGAATTATAATGCATATTAAGCACTGATCCAAGATACTAATATTCTTTAATTTCTACTAACTAATAACTTTTCAGGGAATTTTCTGTACATTAGTAGACATAAGCAGGGAAGCTCCCTAACAATTCCACCTATTTCTGCGATGTGGAGGAAACACGTAGTCAATCCATACCGACTATTGCACATGAGGATTTTTTTGATCAATTACTATTGCACATGAGGTTGCCTAGTTCGGTTATATTTCACTCTGCAGTCCACATCGGTCCTGTAGACCATGAGACCATCTTGTATTTAAGTTCTTAGTTCTGCCTGATATGTGTGCATAAGCCATCCAATGATTTATATTTTAATTAAAAAACAAAAGGGCTTATTTTATCCACAAGCTGAAATCTACGCAATGAATGGTAGATGCCAGGAGAAACATATAGCCTTTTAGCCCCAAACTGCATTTCTGGATGCTAGATTCCTTGTTAGTTTGGACTCGACTAAATGAACCAGCAGACCTGGTCCCCATATGGTATGCAAATAACATATATATTGTAACATTGTCAGCTTATTATTATTATTATTTTTTTTTTTTTGTGTGTGTGTGTGTGAGAAAACACTGTCTGCTTTGTTTGCGGTGATTAAATAATTAGACTATAATGTGTGCCTCTGCATATAATCCATACTAAATATTATGTATATCCATATATGACATGACAATGTTACCCTATTATTCAGTGCTTATGTAATTGAAGTGCAAAAGGAATTCCTTGAGAGAACCAGTTTTCAAAATTCATCTTTGAAATAAAAAAAAAAAAAAATCATCAGAATGGTCTTTCTCAAGTCTCAAGGAATAGAGTGTGGGAGGAAACTAATTACTTGTTACTTGGTATCAGGCTAACAAAGTTGTGTTGATTGTACCATTGGACTTATAACCACTCCAATAAGGCACACATTGACTCATAGCACATAAAAAGCTAATTGTTTTAAAAGCATTTTATTTCCATATCCTACAATGCTATTCAATATTCAACGCATATCCATAGCCATATACAGGTTGCAAATCATTGAGTGTGTTTATTTTATTAATTTATCCTTATTTATACAGTGCTATTAGTATGGCAATCTACAGTAGATGAAAAAAAGTGTTAACCAATTAATAATATTGGTGGATAACAATATGTTTCTGGAAAGTTTGTGCTTTATAATTTTACAGATGAACTGTAAATAACTTTTTTATGCCTGCTAACTTAATTATTATTTTCCCATTATATCTGCAAGTACAGGGGTTTACCTTCTGGCAAAATTCGAAGGCATTGTTGACAGGAAGATTTATGGATCAAACCATTACATCATCAGTGGGCATTCCTTGGAGCATCTATGTTTAGTTATGATTCCTGTTTTGCTCAGCATGATGCTTATTTACAGAAGCATTAAAATTCCAAGGTACACTACATATCAACATGGTAAGCATGGCAGTAGTGTATCTTGTTGTGCTTATGTGCTGGCTCTTAACCTTGGTATTACATGTTTGCTAAATTTATTCTGTTTTTTTATTGTTCAGATCAATTAATGAAGAACTAAGACTTTAAAATAGGTAACTTGAGCAGGACCAAAGTTCTATAACACCATCAGTTGAAGGTTCAACTGAACATGCTACAAGTTTTCACAACGATGTTTGATAAATGTCAATATAAAAGGCCATGACCCAGTGTTGGTCCCACCTATCTGGGGTCTTGGCAGGGGTTGACTGGAAAAGGTCCCACCCTTGGACATTTTTTTCACAAAGTGGCCATTCTCAGACTAGAACCCATGTTCTTACGCTTGCCATCCCAAGATTTTATCATCACATCAAGTAATGTTTGACATTATGATACCTCATTTATTTTCTTTTCATCAGATAATGGTGTGAGTTATATGGACAAAAATGGGAATTCTCTTCCTGAGCTGAATAAGTGGTTATTGGTTAACCATGTCTGTCACATAAAATAACAATATGCAGCTTTTGCAAATAATTATCATCTATTCAAAGGGTTTCTACTTTGGATTTGGCAAGTCTATTTCTTTCCATTGCATGGTACTACCATAACTATTTCTGTTTCATGATGACCCTGCCTCGTAACTTCCTTCTCCAGCTTAGCCACATTATTGCCTTTAGGAAATCTTTTTCTGCTTAAGCCGGACCTTACTAAATATGGTTTATAGAAGGTTTCACGGGAGTTTGCGTGGGAGGTGAGGGGCATGAATATAACTGTTCATTAATGTTTTTACCTTTATCCATACCGTTCTAAACAATGCAATATGAGTTCCATTCCGGCTTGCTTTGCTTTGCTTTCCCTTTAAGAAACCCTATAGATTGCATCTTCTGTTGCATTGATCTTTGAATTATGGAAATGACGTCCCTTTTCCTTGCATGCTAATGAAATGTATTACAGGTTGGGTGAGCTTAAAGAATGGCCATGAAATGAACAGAGGAGACTGAGACCAGGTCCATGGGAAACTTAGAGAGAAGCAAAAGAGGTGTCATTGCCAGCAGTAGAATGTAAAACAGGAATGGCGATTTCTATCCAACTACAAGGTATATGGCATTGTCCGCACTGGCTGTCACCACAGTACTGGAATCCACCTCTGGCTCTGATATATTTGAGTTTTTTGTTCATTTTTTCCCTTCCTGTTCCATGCTCCGGGAATTTTCATCAAATCCAGACATGATTTACCTGTAGGCTGTAGCTAGCCTTTTAGGCTATGTTTGGTTTGGATAGAAAATAAGAGAAACAAGAAGCTGAGTTTGGAAGTTCTTAACAAAATTTGCGATATTCTTTTAAGAAATTTCCCTAAACTTTCTGTCTCTCTTATTTTATATCAACCCAAACACAGACACAAGGGTAGAATGATGATATAACAAAGCCCTCACACTGTACGACGAGGCCTCTGAAAGGGATAAATAAATTTTTAACATAGATTAAATAGTTACCTTGCACCTTTTAGTCAGTGTTGTGAGACTAAGACAGACTCAGCCGACTAGATGGTTGGACACTTGGACCGGTGACCCAATGACCATTTTGAGCCCTGGTTAAATGGCAGTTTTTCCTGGTTGAACAGGCAAAGTGTCCGATTAACCGTTTAAAACATGACCCAGCGAGCATTGCGTTCTGGTTTTATATCCAAGCAGTCTTATACATTGCTTTTAGTTTTACCCACAAACCCAATCAAATTTAGTTTCCAAACTCAAATGGAAGAACCCGGCGGTAGATGGGATAGGTTAGTCCGTTAGTGTGGTTCACATTCTTTCAGATAAAGTGGGTTGTTAATTACATTTTTTTTTTTTTTGTGGGTCCCAAAGAAAACATATAGGCATAATTTCCCCTTCCCCCCTGCGTATCATTGGGTGGTCATTAATATAGAAAAACCCTAACGCTGGGACAGTTTCTCCCTCAACCATGGGGCTGGGAACGAGTCCGTGTTCTGTGCACCATATAAAAAATCACAAACGTTAACAGGAATTCACTCGTTTGTCAAAGAAATCCGGTTGAACCGCCAACCGGACACAAAAGGACAAAATCACATTATTTTTGTCATTTGGGATTTTCGAACTCCCACCCATTTTCTCCTCTCCTCCGTCGAGCCCCAATCCAGAAGCATCTCCCACTGACGACTTACTGCAAATAATCGGCATTTATAAACGTGAAATCTACCGTCGACGATAGATTTTTGAATTCCCCCCCTCCCCAAACTAAGACTCCATCCCTTTGTCTTTTATTCTTCCTCTCTCCTCCTCCTCCAGGTTTCTGGCCTTCGAGGTTTATGAGATCATGGGTATTAAGTTCATCAACTTCTACATGATCCCCTGTGCTTTCATTTGATGGGCAACTACGTCTCCTGCGTACAACTCCCGTCCGAAACACCAGCCGAGACCATCAAGTCAGACAGCCTCGTCAAGATCTACCTTCGACCCATCAACATTTCCGAGCTCATTCTTGAGTTTCCAAAACACCTCGTCTGCCACTTTGATTCCTTCTACGTAGGTCAAAAGATTCGGGCTCTCTCTGAGAACGCCAAGCTACAAGTACACTTCTCCTTCCAAAACATTTCTTTCAATCCATCCTATCCTTTGTCACCATTGCTTCATTCACTTCCTTCCCGTCTCAATCCTCTTCATCGTGTAATATCTCTAAGAACGAGTTTTTGAAGAAGCTGCAAATTGTCAACCTTTCGATATTCAAAATACTCCATCCGGATCTCTTCAGATTCAAGTATCGGATGAGTTAGGGGAAGATAAAAGACGACCAAGGAGAGGACGAAAATCACAACAAATTCAAAAATAGAGTTTGCACTACACCTCAGTTGCAGAAGGATTATACGCAGCTTGTTGGGTCTTGAGCTCGACAATGGAAACCGAGCTTGAGCCGATACAAAAGTCCGAAAGGAGGAAGCTAGCTTTCATCCTTAACGATGAAGAAAAGGAAAACACTCCATCAGTCCAAAGGGACCGGTTAGGTTCAGAGACCAGAACTTCACGTTACTTCCACAAAAGCTCATTCAAAAACAAAAAATAAATTCAAGACCTAGGGAAAGAAAAGCTTGTGAAAATTGTCAAGCGTTCTTAATTTGAACCTCTTTACATTTTTGTAAAAATTCGTTTTAATTTGTTTGGTATAGGTACATATCATTCAGATTCTCTTTTATACTGGTCATCAATAGATTCATTTTACATATCTCACATGAACAAGTTCCATATCTCTCTTTCTCTCTCTCCATATTGTAAAACTACAACTCGTTCAAACATGTTTTTCTTCGGTCATAGTGAATTTCGTCTCGATTTTGAATTAGAACTATTCCTGGGCAGAATTAATGATGATGTGATCTAACACGAAAGTTGTGATCAATTGATTGGGGTGTAGTGTCTGATCAAGAACTTGAAACATGGGGTTGTTTTTGGAATTTGGTTGTTAAAACTTGGAGTTGAGCTGAGTCGCAGAACGAGAGAGAGGGATTTCGAGGGACAAGATGTTTTTGGTTGTGCCTGGCAGTTGATTCATTGCCGTTGCCAGTAGATTTCACGTCACAAACGCCGGTTTGCAATGAGGTCTCCGGCGGGATGCTCAATGGAGAAGAGGAGAAAATGGGAGGGACTTTGAAATGGGATGCTCAACGGAGAAGAGGAGAACCAGATTCCTTCAATTAACATGCAAACTCCGGTTGAGCTGGTAATTTTATAAGGCTCAATTTAAAAGAAATATAAATATAAATATGTAGAGTGCAAAAACTTATATTTTATATTATTTTATGTTTATTTATATTTATACTCTTTCTAAACTGAGCTAAGTTGCAGATGTTTTTATTTCTGATTGGTAGGTTTACGCTTCGGGTTCACAGAATGCGAGCTCGCTGGGAACCTGGGGCCGCGTCCAAGTAAGGTGGATTTCAAATAAGGTACATATGTATGGTCGTTATACCTACTTTGCGTTTCCAGTAATAAAAAATAGGGATAATTACTTAATACTGAGGTTTGAAGAAATTACTTATCATGTTGACTTTTCAAACATTGGTTGTAACGGAAATACTAAAGGTCAAAAATATCCCTAGCTATTCATTGAATTTTCATTAACATACTATTCACTGAAAACACGCGACTGAGATCAGGATTGAGAGCTGTTGGATGACCCAGAATCTTACTGAAATTGCTTTCACCACTTCATCTCCATGCATCTTTCCTCACTTAAATCGTCTAAACCGGTGGCTCCACCTTGTGCTCCAATGCTGGAAAGATTGAACCAGCACAGAACCTCTGAACCGAAAACCCACCACCATTATTGGCATCACTCGGCGTTAGGATCTTCATGATGGATACGACCTTCTCTTCAACATCATCAATGCCGCCGCACCTAGCAGCTTACGGATAAATCCAGTGTGAGGCGGATCCTCACAAAAACATTGTCAGCGTTAGGATTCAAGAGGAACATCACTAATACGGTTCAGCACAAAACCATGTCTATGAAACAAACTATAGCGCTAAGATTGTGAATAGAAGAAGCTTGCTTGGTGTGGCCTTGGGGTAAGAAGTAAGCCTTAGAACTGATAGTGGGGATTTCAATGGAGCTTCCAATAGAAACCTTCTAAATGTGTGGATTCATGCTCTGAAGCTTGGTCGCTTTTCGCAATGCCATTACTAGGGTTTCTATCACGGTTCAAAGATCCACTGACGATAGATCAATAAGATCGCTTCTTATGGTTTCTCAATTCGGTCTCAGTCTTACCTCTTTGTTGTCTCTCCAGTCTTAGCTCATTCTCTATTGACCGTTGGATTCCTATGTTTTCAGTTTCAGTTTGGATTTTTTCATTTGAGTGAGAGTATTTCAATGAAACACGGATTGAATCCAAGGATAATAATGTGTGGGTTTTTCTCTAGGCATTTATTAAAATGCTGCTATACGCAATGATATTTATAAAAGTGTGTTTTAATTTATGTGTGCATCAACGATCACGGAAAAGTTCATTTTAACGCTTCCTCCAACCATTAAGCATTTATTCACTCAACTGCTAATGTGATACCTAATGCACCTAGTTGTCAATAAATGATTTATCAAATACTTTTCTCAATTTTGAAGACAAATCAAGTACAAGCGTTAATAAACAAAAACTATGCCAAACAGTCAAATACATAATATAGTATATTAAAAGTGTAAACTTAGAATTAAAAAATAATAATAATTAATTGGCAAATGAAATGGTCCTAAATGTTTCCTAAATAGATGGCCTATTTGTATTGTATGGAATAGTTTCCTCAAATTAAATTTCCTCGTAAGTTGTAACCACGCTCAAGAGTCAAGACAAGGTTAGGGTCATCATGCAATGAAATGCAAGAAGTTCAGCTTGAATTGAAGAACATCTGCCATAGTAGTAACTTTGGAAAGCAAACATTAATGCCTCCACCTGGATTACCTCTCTCTCTACACTTACCATTCACATTTAATTTATATGAAAAAGTACTCGAATGCTTCTATTTTACCCATTTGAAAGATTGTCATCTCAGCTCTTTCACAAGTATGTTATACACCCTCCTCTCATACCTAAGCCATTGCACATTAATTCAGATTAGCCGTGCGCTGGGCTGTACAACCAATGATAACTCTAACACCATGTCATTAATAAAATGCATGACACTTAATAGAGCTATAGTATAAGAGATTGAATGGTTGTGAGCCCTTGTTTTTTATGACTGATGTGGAGTGTTTTGTCAATTTCACAGCATGGTGAACAGCTATTACATTCAGAATTCAATCTCACCGGAAAGTGAAAAATGGAAATCTATAACCCATCTTTCTTTTCTATTCTCTTTTCCTCTGGCAGCAGTTGCAGCAGCAGCCAAGGTCTTGATTGACAGCCTAGATCAAAACTTAGATGTCAGTGCACCACAAAATTGCTTAAAAGACTAGGGCGTGGTTTGGTTTGTAAGAATAGGGGTCTGGAATCGGAATTGGAATGGGCTATTCCAATTTCTGTTAGAATTGGGTGGAACTGGAGTCTTATTCCCATTCCTGTTAGAATAACATTCTCCCATTTGAGGGAATGGTCATTCCTTGTCCCTCCCTTTGAGAATCAAATCTCATTCTTACTGATTCTAATTCTCATTCCTATTCCTATCTAAACCAAACAAATTATGAAAATAATAATAATAATAGACCATTCCAATTCGGATTCCAAAAAATTTCAATTCTGGTTTTAATTCCAATCCCGACTGTGAACCAATTGGACGCGACCCTAGAAGAAAGGAAATCATCTGTGGAAGAAGTATAAAGTATCAACCATCTGATCTGCTTCCAAGTTATTGTAATGTAATATTGAGTCATGGGTGGACTCCACTCTACTGAGGGAGAGGAAGTAAACGCGTTGGGTGCTGAGTGTTATTAGAAAATAATGGAGCATTGAAGGGGTTCATCAATCATCATGGTTACTTGACCTAGATTCATTAAAATTCTGATTTAAATGCCAGATCCGGGCAATGTGCTCTGGTGACAACGCATAACACTTTGTACTCTTTCATCATTTACCACTAGTACTTTTGCAAAAATACGTCAAACCAAACGCAACGGTGAATTGGGGGATGTTTGGGTACGAAACAAAATACAGAGGCTTATTGCTTCCTGCGTATTAAGTTGCAGTGATTAAAGAAAGAAAGAAAGAAACAATCTCTGCAGGTGGCAGGTTGGGCCAACAGATGCTCACTTATTATTCGTCTCACCACTCCCAACTTTTGCTGCACTTTCTTCTGGATTCATTGTACACTTCCAATTTTGTCCCACCTCCCAAACAACTCCTCGGTTCTCAATTTTACTGGTTTGGGCCGTCGGTCTGATCCGATTCTTATGATACAAATTGGTTTCGTCCTATCATCAAATTGGATGGGGCATCACATCAGTGTATGTCTTAACTCTTAATTGTATCATACTTTATTATTATTGGAACGAATGAAATTCGAATCTCAGACCGTGTTTGGAATCGGTATTTTTGGTTAAAACAGTGTTGCATTGGCTGCTGTTATTGCCAAATGGTCCTAAGTTTTTTATCATTATTTTTTTATGCTTTCTCAAACCACACCTTACACTTTTCTTTGATTTTCAAGGTATGGTCTAAGAAAATATTTTTCAGAAAAAGTCATAATCAAGATCATGTTTGGTAAGACTGTTTCTCAAATAAATATGTCTTAATTTATATGTAAGTCAACTATTTGGGGAAGCTTCATTGGCGTTTTATGGGTAGGCTATTTATTTGTACTTTTTCACTTTTAAACATTTTCTGTTTTTGTTGTTTGATTGGGCTTCACTTTAATCATTTTTTACTCTCCACCTCAGATTAATACCTAGTAAAGTGTGCCATATCAGTATTTAGTTTCAATAAACGTTGGGGCGTTGGAAGGAACAAGAATTTAACGTTTCCCCAAATGCCCCATGCACAAAAATCAAAGTGTTTCAGTTTTCTACCATTTATTTGATAAACAATAAAACTAAATGGTTGTTTCATTTTGTTTCATATGCAATAAACGCCAACGCCTATGTGGCGCTGATGTGACAATGTTTTTTCAATAAACACCCATGGAACCAAACACAACCTTAACGTTTCTCCCAACACCAAGGTGTTTATTTACTCTTCTGTTTTATGCGGAGTGTAATATACTAACCATAAAAATAAATACTAAAACAACATTTATCAACTACTTTTTCTCAATTAATGATCTATACTGCTTTAAAAAGTATCAATAGCCTCGAGAATATTTTTGGAAATTTTTAGGACAATATTTACCCCTCTATATTTAAATTTATTGATAAAAATGAGGGCAAATAGGGTAATCTAATATTGCTATTAAATGAGTTGAAAAAAAATACAATTTTAAGATATTCAATGCATTTAATTCTCTCTCATTAAATCCAACATTTAAAGTATTAATTTGTATTCACCTTCATTGAATCATATATTTAAGACATTTTTGTTTCTTCTCATCACTAAATTCTATAATTAAATTCATACATAATAAATTAATAACTCCATTAACATAAAACTTAAACTTTTAAAATCTACCTAGAAAAAATAGTGTTTTCATCTAGGTGGTGGTAAGAGATTAAGTCATTTTGGGTCAAATGGGACAATCCATGTTGTCACAATTAAATAGTGAAATTCAAAAATATATAAAATGCAAAAAAAATATAGAAATTAAAAAATTAAAAACATTTTTAACATCATATATTTGACATATTAGACAATAATAAGTATGATGAACAATGTTTTAAAAACTAACCTGAAGGTTGACTTGCTTTTGCCTTCGAGTTGCAGATCATCAGTTCAATTGTTAAGGTTGAACTAGTCAAACCGCTCCACATCATCATCATCTCCCTCTCTCTCTCTCTCTCTCTCTCTATATATATATATATATAATGTATGTGTTAAAACATATTTTATCAATAAATAGTGTATAATTATTTTTACATATAGTATATGTATTATGTTACATTTGTTTATGCTTTTTAATGCAGTTTAGAATTTTTTATTTATAAAAATTATAATTTGGGGCCCAAAAAGGGATTTCTTTTTGTGAAAATAGAACGACAAGACGCCTAAGGCACTTGGGGCACATAGATCTTAAAAAGTTACCTACAATAAAAAAATATCACCCCAATCAAGCATTGGAGTGCAAAGTTATGGCCTCCAAAAGTTTGCACATAATTAAGTGTGCAATCCGTGACCCAGTGACTAGGTCGAAGTGTTAATGATTGAACTACCTAGGTTAGATAGTTTTTTACCAAGTCAACGATTTTTGACCGAAAGGGTGAGCCTCAACAAAACCAAACCCGAAATTAAGACTGAGTGATGATTCGAATGGTTTAATCAGCCGGGTCAATGGTGGGTTGAAAACATTGATGATAAATAAGAAATATTTTTATTAATGATGGAATACAATTTAAAATTTCAAACCAATTGGAAATAAAACTATTTTCATATTCTCTCTCATTAAATCTCATATCTAAGGTACATTCTCTTATTAAATCTTATATTTAAGATTTGTTTTTCTCATCATTAAATTCTACTAATTAAATCCATAATATTAATTTTAATAATATAAGAATAAATATTTTTAAAAATAATTTGAAAACTAAACCATTTTATCCTCTCCTAGTGGTTGGTAAGCAATTTAACCATTTGGGATCAAATGGGTTAATAAATAATGTCATAATTAAAAAATAAAGATTAAAATAAGTAAAATATATAACATAGAAAAATAAATCTTATCACCAGTGGTTGGTAAGACATCTTTTTATTAATGATGAAAATGGAGTTCCAAATTTAAAATCAACCTAGAAATGAAATGACGTCATAGTCAAATAATAAAATTTTTAAAAATAGAAAATACAAAGAATCACAAAAATTGAAAAAGTAGAGAAAATTTTGGGCACAAATCTAATGTTATATACTTATAAAAAATAAAATATTGGGTACATCTATAATATTATACATTCATTGTATTGAACAAAAATAAATAGTATACATAAGCAATGATTTTATCAATGATGGGAATGTAATATAAAATTTAATGTCAACCTAGAAATCATACTATTTTTTCTTTTTGGGTGGTGTGATAATGGTTTGGGTCAAATGGATTAATCGATAATAAGATAGTTTAACAATAAATCTTTAAAAAGTAATAAAAAAGTAAATATAATCAAAAGAATTTATAAAAAATGGGTTCGATTATGATATTAGAAAGATATATTATCTGAATTTTTTATCAATCGACAAGTATAAAAAACGTGGTAGCCAATCAAATGTTATTTATCAAAATTCATAGGTGGGTTTTGATTGGTCAAAACTCATTTGATACCATGTCTTTCCCACATTATAGATTTTTATATATTAATTATGTCAAACGAAAGTTAAGTGTGATAAGTAAAAATTATTTATATAATGTAGATGGAGTATACAATTTAAAACTGATCCGAAAGCAAAGCTATTTTCTTATTTAAATAGTGGGTCAATGATCCAACTTTTCAAAGAAAATCATGATGTCATAATTAAAAATGTAAGTATTAAAAAAAAATGAAAAGTATATAGTTTTGTCAAAAACATTTAGGAGCATTTCTAATGTTATATATTCATCATATTAAATAAAATAATTATTAAAATAAAATTATTCTTATTTATGATAAAAATGGAATATAAAATTTAATAATAACTATTTTTATTTATTATTATTATTTGAAATTTCTATTATAATTTATTACTTTTGTTAATTTTCAATTATTATCTTAACTATAATATATCTAAAATTCAAACAATTAATATGAAAAAACATTCTTACATGCAACGCAGATACTTAATTACATTATTTATGAAAAGGATTTCGAATGTAACGCTAATGTAGTGCTGTTAAAAACGGCATTGCTTCCAAACCCTAGTTTTGTCCGACCGAACCGGCTAAGAAGCCGGGAGACCATCCCGTATCACCCATGATCCTATACTATAGTTCAATTGATGTATCGTTATCACTACTGACTAAATAAACGAAAATTACTTGACCCCCTCACACGTGTACCAACCGCGTCTAATGCGAGGCTTTTTTATTTTTTTAAGCAAGAAAAGAAAATGAACAGGGAGATTCCAAAGCCAGATAATCTGAAACATTAGTAGGTGGACTAGAAACATCTTTCTCTTGCTGGCGCTGAGTGTGGGTGTCTGGTGCTAGTGTGGTGGATGCTTGGATGGTGGTGGTGCCTTATTTTCTCTCTCCTCTCTCCCCTTACAATATACGTCTCTCTCTGTCTCTCTGGTCCTTACGTCTCATCCCAGCTAATCACCCTCGGGCTCAAACAATATTGAAGAGAGAGAGAGAGAGAGAGTAATAAACCAAACCGTCTGAGCTCTGAGGAATACAAGATGACAGACAGAATCTACCCTTCTTCGAAGCCAAACTCCAACCCTCCACAAACACTCAATGTAAACGGCAACCCATCTTTCCCCGCCACCAAAGCCCAACTCTACGGCGCCACCCGCCCTGCTTACCGGCCTCAGCCCCCCCGGTCCCGCCGACACCGCCGTAGCTGCTGCTGTCTCTGCTGCCTCTGGAGTACGCTCCTCATCATCGCTCTTGTCTTCCTCGCCGCTATTGCCGCCGGAGTTCTCTATCTTCTCTATCACCCTCAGCGCCCCACTTTCTCTGTCTCCACGCTGAGGATCTCCCGGTTCAACGTCACCACCACTAAGGACTCCACTACACACCTCAATTCTCAGCTCGATCTCGCGATCTCAGCTCGAAACCCCAACAAGAATATAGTCTTCTTCTACGATCCCATCACCGTGACCGTGAACTCCAACGGCGTGCATATAGGAAACGGATCGTTCCCGTCCTTCACTCATGGCACCAAGAACACCACTAAGCTGACGGCTTCGATCTCGAGTGGCGGTGGAGATCTGGACGCCGAGTCCATTAATTCTCTCAAGTCAGATCTGAAGAGGAAGAACGGGTTACCTTTGGAGATTCAGATGGACACGAAGGTGAAGGTGAAGATGGGGAGTCTCAAGACTAAGAAGGTTGGGATTAGGGTCATATGCGACGGGATTGATGTCCCCGTTCCTAAAGGCAAGACTCCGTCCTCTGTGTCTCCGTCGTCTAATCCGAAATGTAAGGTCGATCTTCGGTTCAAGATCTGGAAATGGAGTTTCTGAGTATACTCTTGGTTTCATTCTTCTTCTTTATTTTCTTTTTCCTCTTTACTTAATTGTTTAGTTTCTCTGTTAAATTCGAACCCAAGTGATTTTCATTCTAAATTTCAACTATGTTGGTTTGTAAATGGAGAGTTTGTGGGATGAATTTGTTAGGAAATTAGGACTTAGAAAGAGCGAGAAGAAAAAGAAAAGAAAGATTAATATATGAATATTACTAGAAAATTTTATTTCTTCATTTCTTTGGGATGTTCTAACTGTAAAAGTGCCTTGTGATTCCTGAAAAATTTCAATTACAGTGAACACTCTTTTTTGTTTTAACTTTCTTTCTCTTTTCCATCTTACTATTTTGATGGGTCGGATCAATGCTTTTCTTTCTCTCTTCGTGGGAAAACTGTTTTCGACGATTGGGATTTCTGGGTTGGTAGCGGTTGTCGTTCTGACATGACTCATGAGAAGGCGATCACAGAGAGAGAGAGCAGTGAAGGAAGGAACGTGTTTATTGGGTTTGTGTGTCGGTGGGATTTATTTTATACTTTTTATGGGAAATAATGGAAATGGGACTGTGTACTGCACTTTACCGCGCCATACAAACAAGGTGGCGTAAAGCCCCACGCCCCCACGTTCATGGTGGAGCTGGACCAGTTCTGGCCTCTCTGCCCAGCAAAAGCAGGAAGGAACCAGTTCTCGAACAATTTCCCTTTTTATTTTGGGCTAGGGACTAGGGTACGAAACGAACACTGGCCAGTTCAGACTTCAGAGGTCAGAGCTCAGAGGGGCTACATTTGTCTGACAGGGGCGATCTAAAAAGTCAGGACTCAGAAACGTGGATGGTTTATTCATAACTTGATAAGAGGAGAGGGAGATCCCACCACCGTACTAATTATCAAAATGAGTGAAGTAAAGGTCTGCAACAGCAAGTTGGAACTCGATCGATTGAATTGAGTTTTGCAGGGAGAGCTAGAGGGTTCATTATGTTATGTGTGTACTGTGTAGGTCTTACTTCTTAGGAGGAGGATCCACATCCACTTACACCCGGCATCTTATGATTTTGTATCTATCAAAGCTGAATGGATTGGTCCCGCTTGCTGTGAGTTTTTAGTTTTATTTTGTGTGAGTAGACACCAACCAATTAAGATAATGGATTAATAGGGGAGGGTCCACCAAACTTGAAAGTATGTACTTCGCTTTTTCACAGTGGACGATTCAGCCACGCTTCTTGTTTTGTTTTGTTGAAAGTTTACCAGAACTATGTACTTGTAGGATGGAGCCAAATACAACTTTTTCTTCTTTTTTGGCGCAGTTATTTATCCACATATATAAGTGCATTTATCTTTGTTTTTTTCAAGTAAAAAAATTATTTAATGGGTAATTTTATCAGCTGGTTAATTTAATTAAGGAGTACTTATTTAAATAAGCGATATTTAGGATAAAGTTGTTTTAACGTGTGGAATTCAGCTGGTCAACTTTTATTTAAAAAAAGCCCCTAAATACAAAGGTTAATACTCTTCTTATTCAATATCTGGTTCAAATCTTGAGTATTGCCCCCTCTAAATCAGTAAATTGCACCATATGCGACTTTTTGTGTATTGCACATATTGATAATATCAACCACGTGTGTTAGCTTTCAACCCTTCAGAAGTTTAATGAACTATGGAAGGTGGAGATTCTGTCTTACAGCTAGCTTGGTTCAACTTTGTAAGATCTAAGATGTTATACAATCTTTCCTTGTTTCTTTTCTAATATATATTTTAAGCATTTTATTGTCTATATATATATATATATATATATATATAGCCAAGCGAATATGAAATTTGATCACGTGGTTAAGTCTGAATTATACCAAAATGAAAGAAAAAAGAAGGGAAGACCAAAAGACTGAAGAAGAGGCAGGTACCCTACCAACAGGACAAGAGCTGCTGCATTAGTATTTAGTAGGGTACGTCATAAGTACTCCCGAGTCCTCACCAAACCTCAAGCGCTTAATTATACATTTACCAACTATCCGACAAGAGATTTACGATTATCTGCCTTTATCTTCCACATCCAACTCTATATATTCTACATTCCTCAATTCCGATCAATCAATCGCATAACTACCAAAGATTAGGGAGAAGTACCAATCAGCCCAGATCAAAATTTATTAGGCTCAAAGTACAGGGGGAATGCATCCTGACCATGATGCCAAATTTATGAACAGGATGTGGTTTATAGGGGCGAAAGGGGAGCTGAAATTCAGAATTCTGTATCGTGTTTCCATACTTTTCCCAAAAGATTAAATAATATAGTATAAAAAAAACATAAAATATACCACTTCTTTTTACTGGAGTGATGTTGCAAAAAGCTGGAGTTAAAATGGAGAACTTTTAATTCAATTAAGATCACTCTATCAAGTAGAGAAGCTACGGTGGCTGTCCATACTTAATTTGGCTCAAAGGGCAAAATCTTTTGTTGTTGATAGAATTTGGTGGTCTAACCGTTTTATCTGGTTGGACCAGTTTATTTACAATATCTTTTGCTAAATAATATTAGTTTATTTAAAAAAAAAAACATTGATTAATAAATTAAAGGAAGGATGAAGATACACCATTTATTAATAGGTCCCACCTGGCTAGGACAAAAAAAAAAGAAAAACTCTTCAGATAATTGTGGTTGTAATTTGATGCTTTTAGTTTATTGAAAATAATTCAATCATGCTAATTGCTAGCTGTTAGCTGTTCTTTTTCTCTCTCTCTCTATCTCTAGGATTGAGAGCAAGTTTTAACTTTTTAAGTGGAGCTCATGGGTGCTAATGTCTCCATATAATAATCCAGAACTTTTGAGTTTTGGCAACATCACGATTCACGAATAGAAGAATCCCATTCCTTTTGTTTTGCCAATTGCCACCAAACTAAAAAAAGCAATACCGGCGTGAAAAGTCCGAAACGCCACCTGTTGCCTTCTGCATTGACCATAATACCCTTTTTCCCTTTGGTCAAATGATGCGTTGTGCAACGGTCCCATAAAGTCACAATGAATGAATTCCATGTGGGACTTCAATCCAAACCGGAACGTGGACGTACTTCAGCCTAGGGCCTAGGCCTAGGCCAATCCAACCTGACTAGTTTGGTTGGGTTCCAACTTCCAGCTAACCCGGTTCAAGTTGCAAGTTGCAGCCCTTTTTCTTGGCAGTGGTAGAACAAAGTTTGATAAGAGTTAAGTAACCAACCTTTTTTTTTTTATTTCTATGGTCCCCCAACAAGTTGCTTCTTCATGTAGTTGCATGCATGAGCATCATCATAAGCATCGATCCTGTGACTTTCAACCAAAGTGGAGGAGAAAAAGAAAGAGATGGAAAAGACCAAGTAAGCTATTAAACATGGCATATAATTATAATCTGTCCATGATCAGAAAGGAAAATACTTGATTACTGATCCTCAGTACAAACCACATGTTCTATGGGCCGGTCAAAGCACAGCACAGCTAAGAAATAAAGGACCGAAGAAATGGTGATTGAGTTCAGGGAGAAGGTTGAAAAGAACATGCATGGCCGATCACTCAACTTGCCTTCTTTTTCAGCCAATGGAACAAGGATAGATGAAATATACTAATGTTGTAATTAGTGCTGATCGAGTTCATCGCAAATGCTTGTGGGGTCTAATTAATATCTAAGAGTTGCATAAACATTAACACGCCTACCCAAATGCAACAGGCAGATTCAATGTTTTAGTTTTAAAACTAGACAGACTAAAGACGACCTCTGTTTGTTCAGTCCAGTCAGTTTAGGTAAATTGCTTTTGGTAAAAGGCTGAGAAACTTGTGAAGCATTGTTTGCTGCACTTAATAGTATTGGGCAATTTTATGAATCATTTAATGCTATAATGATAGTAATAATATATCCAAAATTTCATATAAACTTTTATGTATTTTTTGTTTTTTATATTTTATATTTTTTGTATTATTAATCCGAATAAAATTTAAATATGACTATATAAATACCTTATCCAAATATGAGATAATCGGATTAAATTGTGAAGTTTCAAGTATCATTGACAGACCTACCTACTTGGTCGGGATGCAAATTGATTGGATTGAATTCGAATTAGGGTATATTCGAATTTGATCCAATACTATTAATAAAAGATTTGATCGCATCTCATAAACATGGATTTGAATACGAATCCAATGAGGAAGTCAAATATTTGGATCTGATCCATTTCAATTTAATTTAAATAATAATAAAATAATAAAATATAACAACTTAAATAAGAAGATTTGGACGGGGGATATCCGAATTCAACAAAAAGGATCGGATTGGATCATGATATGATCCATTTGCACCCCTAATGCTTGGATAGATTCTTCATTTTGTAATGTTTTTTTATGTATATTTTTTTGTCCATTTCAAGGTTTAAATTAACGGTGTATCGGCCTGTATCGGTGCTTTTTTTATGCTTTATTTATTTTTCAAAATCGGTTCAGAGGTGTCCGTTAAAGTCCCGACTACCCTCTAAACCATGGTCTGACCTGATACAACCCCTATAAGGGCGTATTGGGAAGCCATTGGCATGATAAGTATCAGCCGATATAGGCCGATATGTGTTGATACTTTGAACATTGGTTCATTTATAAAAAAAAATGTAAGATTTAAATATAGTGAATTGAATGTGGTGAAAAGTAGTAGTTCAATTTACAATTTAAACCTCACAATTAAATAGGGACTAAATTAAAAAATGAGTACTTTAATTAAAAGAAAATTCCACAATCTTATTTATATTTTTTGTAGTAGTATAAATATAGAATTATAGATGTGCTCAATTTTTACTATATTTTTTTGTACTTTTGTGTGTAAAACTAATCCTGATATTTTACACTTACTTTTTGTTTAATAATATAAATATATGATATTATACATGTGTTTGAATGTTTTTTTGCAAGTTGTATGCATTTTTTTTATTTTTGTATTTTTATATTTTATTAATTTTTATTATTTATTTATGATGTTAAATTTGAATACATTTAACCCAAAAGTTAAACTATTTATTATTAATTTTTATATTCCATTTTTGGCTAGTTCTAAATTATGTATTTTATTTTCATTATCAATAAAAAAATTGCTGTTTATTACACTCATTTTTTAATTTGATTATGTAAATGTGTCTACTTTTTCCATAATTTTTGTAACTTTCTAAATTTATTTTTATTTAAAAATTTTATTACATGATTATGTCTTCATATATTAATCAATTTAATTTGGATGTTGAATTGCTTAACCACCGCTTGGATAAAGAATGGTTTTGTTTTCGAGTCAATTTTAAAATACATGGATTTATGCTGACAAAAATATTGACATAGATCTAATTAGTAGTGTTTATTAGTGAAAAATAACTTAAAAATATAGGATTTAATAAGAGAAAATGAGATTTAATACCTTAAGTATAACACTTAATTAGAGGAGATTAAATGAGGTGGAAAGTAACCATTGAAGTTACATTTTCAACCCTTTCAATTAGACATGGATTAAATACACAAATATGGGCATTTTAGTAGTCATTAAAGCTTTTATACCCTTTCACAAGCAAATAAATAAAAAGGTAATTTTAGTCCAAAAAAAATCCACACTACATTCTCACTTTTATATATAGTATAGATTTGTAAATTATATATTATGAAGCACATTATAGTCTAGATTTGTTGACTACAATACTTTGTTGGTTCATCCAGCTGCACATTAGGAACAATCTCCTGAAATTTAGGGTATGGCAATGGGAGTTGTTTCTTCTATCATTATTGTTGTTTGAACTTTGAAGAAACCGGGTCCAGTAGTTGGTTGATAAGAAATTATCCATAGTTCTATACTATATAAGGTGGATACTTGACTTAGTTTTAGTGGTCATAAAAATTAAGTTCAAATGCCATACATATTTTTCAAAAATGAAATTAGAGGGTTATCAAACTTCTAGCTTCAATAGTTTGAATGATTTGGTGGTTGACATGGTCACTTGGCATTAGGGGTGCAATTCAAGTTGGCAGGACTTGGCATTTTACACTACTTGTAACTCAGGCCTTCGGGTTGGGCCCATTCAAATTTTGATAAAAATCCAATATGAGCCCACCCAAGTTACACCCTTGCATGGCCAGTGGGCCTTGCATATGCTACTCTTAACTAAAATTTGAAAGATTGGTGGTCATCCAATTTGGACTAAAATCATAGAAGAAATTAAATCCAATTTGAACATATTGGACGATCTAGACATTGAATTTGATTGGTCCAAAATAGTCAAAAGTATTCATTTGATTGGATTGAACCCGGTGCTTTTATAAAGATTTTATATTGGACTTATTGGAGTTAGGCCAAATCCCGTCCAATTGACACCCCTACTCACATGCACCCTTTATCTATTCCTACATTTGTATTGGCAATCAATTTTTAGCATTTTCAAGAGTCGCATCAACTTACTGCTTGCAAATTTATTTCCATGAAACCTCATTGTTTACTCTTTTTTTTTTATTTAATTTTTGTGAAAACAAATGTTCTCTAATGTGGATGAGAAATTGGTGGGTGTGGACTGGTGTGGACACCTTGTGGCGGGGACCTATCCACACCACACCACAGTCCACATTTGTTCTGAAGTGTGGATAGATTGTGTAGACTGAACCAGTCCACACTCACATGGCGTTCTGTAGGTTTGGTGTTGACTGGTGGTCCACACCATACTTTTTGAATCCATGTATCTCATATACATTTTATGGGAAATCTACATAGTCGATAATAAATGTTTAAGTTTTGCATTATATATGGTAAATAAATTGAAAAAAAAGGCATCAATAAATTAATATGTAAGCAATAATTGCATTTTTTAAATATTAAAAAAAGTAAAAAAATATATTTTAAATATTATTTTATTGATAAAAATGTTAAAAAATTAATATTTAAATAATGAAAAAGAGTGGAGAAGGAAAACCATATCGATAAAATATAAAAATTTTAATTTAAAAATTATTAAAAGATTAAATAAAATGAGAATAATTGAACCAATGTAACACAAGTGCATTATACTGAAACTTTCCCACAAACTATTCATACCATAGTGTGAACCATTCATGAGAAAATACTAAAAACGATAAATTGGGGTGTGGCCCGTCATTGCCCATGCTATTTTGTGGATAGGGACCATCCACACATAACAAAACACCATATCTTATTATGGACAGGATAAAAACAATCCCATCCACAATATTTACAAACTACCGAAAATCACCTAATTAATAGGAGCTTTAGCTAGAAAACTATGAATTCGATCCGGTGCAAATAATGCTATCAATTGGCAGGTCAGATTCGGTTCATAGAAGACTCAGACCCAACCCGATAAATAAATGTGTAGTGTCAGACACGAATCAAACCATATATGGATTGGTCTATAATTAGGACTATTGGCCTGATCCAACAATATTTATAATTGATAATTATACTTTTAACCTGTAATATCCCATTTCTTTTACGGTGAAGAAGAAAAAATTAGGTACTAGGGGTATCCTTATAATATGATAATCGGTTCGAAATAATCCAAACCCAATTATAATCGGCATACATAACACACACACAAAGTCAAAACCTATAAATTGGGTCGGTTTGGTTCGTGCCATTGACATTCCTAATATGTAAGTATGTGACCGTAATATGGAAAATAACACCAAAGTGCAACTCCCATAATTCTTCGCCTTATAGACAAGGTGGAACCGTGGAAGTGGAAAGTTGGAAACCGAGGAGAATATGCGGTGAATCCGAGAGGTGCATATAGTCTGGTGTACAAGCATTACATGTGGTTACAGTGATTTACCTCCAAAACCCTGTAAAAATCTCACCGAATAACCGGCGAAACCTAAAACCCTAACCATCTTAACCAAAACCTCTCTCTCTCTCTCTCCTCTTCCCGCCATGTATCGAGTAGCTGCAAGCGTATTCTCTTCGATCAGGTGTGTATGCGTCGTTTGAAGTCACCAAAACTTCTACTTTTTTCTGTAATTCATCGCCACCACCATTTCATTTCGTGTATATTTCGTTTGGATATTTTTAAAATTTTTATTACTCAAATTTCATGTTTTCCCACAGGTCGGCTACTTCGAAGAAACTGGTACTTTATCACTTTGTCACCACCTTTGGTTGTTATTATTTATTTTTTGGATTTTCCCTTCAATGTGGATTGATGCTGAGCTACTACTTGGAGGAACCATCTACATTCGATTAATAGTAAAAAAATTGCAATGATATGATGATCAACTATCATGTCTTCGCATCAATGCAAAATTTGGGTTCTGGCGTGCTCAATGTTGTTGCGTCCGGTCATTTTCATATGCATATTTTTTTTATCCTCTTTTTCATTAATGTTTCTACTTTAATGGGGAGGATTATCTAGTTTATGTCTATTTGAGTATGACTTTCTTGTTAATAATCTGTGGTGTAAAGGTATATAGTAGAGTTCTCCTTAGCAGAAACTATGCTGCGAAGGAGATCAACTTTGGGATTGGAGCTCGGGCGGCCATGCTACAGGGTGTTGCTGAGCTTGCTGAAGCAGTAAAAGTTACAATGGGGCCAAAGGTAACGTTTTTCTTCCTTCCTTTCTTTTTTTTTTTTTTCTTTTTTTTTCTTTCTGAGTGGCCTTCGGCAAGCAGCAAAACTAGCTAATTTTCAAGAAGCATTGGTGAATGTTTTTGAGAATTTAGAGAGATCATTATAGATAGTTTGATATGGAATATCCTATTCTAGGATACTGGTAAAAAATATCCTATTCTAGGATCTACAGTTGTTCTTTGTAATCTGTCATCAACCATATGCCATTTTGGGGAAGATCTACAGCATTCGCAGAAGTTGCATAGTTGCTATGTCCACATATAGAAATAGGTTCCACTTGTGGGGCTGGAAAACAGTTGAAGATGCTTTACTGTGAATATTTGGAAGGAAAATTAGAAGAAACAATTTTTTTTGGCAGGAAATTTCGTCTTCTAGGTTCAAGCAGGATTCTTATTGATATAATTAATTTCTCTTGAGGACTGAGGCCTATTATTACATAATATCCTAACACATCTGAGAAATGTTCTAGAGTCCAAGTGATACATGATTGTGTGTTATAAAGGCAAATGAAAGCCTTCAGGCTAGAATGAAGTTGCTGATATTTTTCTACTGCCTGCTGTCTTCTTTCCTTCTATCCATTCTATCTAGGGCCGTAATGTGATCATCGAGAAAAGTCGTGGAGGTCCCAAGGTAACGAAGGATGGTGTCACTGTTGCCAAAAGCATCAAATTCAAGGAAAAAGCTAAAAATGTTGGTGCAGACCTTGTAAAGCAGGTTGCCAAAGCCACTAATGCCACTGCAGGAGATGGTAACTTCTTAATGTTATTTCTTGTCTCTATGGTTAACCTGTTCCAATTTTACCAATTAATCCACCCCTTCCTGTTTTGTAACATGAAGGGGTTGAATTTACTCTATTTGTGCTTTTCGACCTCATACCAAGGTTCAAAGTATCGATACGTATCGTGCCGATGGATTCCTGATACACTCCTCCAGGGGTTGTATTGGGTCAGACACTGGTTCAGAGGGTAGCTGGGCCTTAAACCGGCCCCTCTGAACCAGTTTCGAAAAAAAAAAATAAAACCTAAAAAAATACCAATACAACCTTGCCTCATACAACAAGAGTTCATGCTTTTACTATTCCTTCTAGACACTTACTGAAAAATTTTCAACTAGAACAGGGTTACCTTATGGGAATTGCAAATAGATGCTCTAGTTATAGATAATACCTTTAATTAGGTCATGCATGCTAACTTTCTCAATGTTTTACTTGCCTTTAGTAGAGCAGAATGTCAGAAGAGGGTTCATGCTTTGTTATGGGCCCGGGCGTAGGATCTCGTCACGAGTCGGTCCACGGGGAGAACCTCGAGTTTCCCCTTGCCCCTCCCTTTTCGTGCAGACCCTATCGTGGCGACCTAAGGGGTGATTTGTCCAAGAGATCACCCTAACTCTCCTTTACTATTCTCTTTGACTGAAATTCTGGATGCCTTTATTCAATAA